AAAATCCATAAACAAACACCACCATTTACATCATTCAGTCTTAAGATAGTTAAATATGTACAGATATTACTGAAGAGAAAAACGAAATTTCCCCAAGTTCTTCTGAATTAAACAAACGGATAAATATTGTTTAAACAATGAAGAGAAAGTTACCTGTGTGGGAACTTGAGCACGAAGTCCGTAAGTTGCATACATTTAAATGGCATGGCCTGCCTCCTCACACCACTGCATGGGCCATCAACCAAAGCCTAAAACAGACAAGGGCAAGACCCAGTCACCCTCCAGTCCCATCTGTACAAGGCACAGGAATATCAGGGGGAAATGAAGCTCAAACTACGGTCCAATGACCACTGAAGCACTCCCTTTCCAAACAGCGCCCCACAAAGAATAGGAAACACAATGGAACTGTACAATTACAGGCACAGAACCATGGCTTCCATTTCTTCTGTGGTCTCCACAGCAGGGCCTCAACACTGGCTGAATGAGTTGGAAACAACATCCAATTCACTGGGAGAGTTTAAAAGGCCAAGGGGCACCATAATGAGCTTCTAGGTATAGTCAAGTCAGGTTATGCTGTGGATAATTCATACTTCCAAGCCCCCAACTGGCAGCTAAGTGTAGTCAACGAATGCTCTGCAGCACTGGCTAAAGTCTGACATCACTACAATGTTAACACTACCCCCCCAAATCACAAAAGCAGGGCAGAGTAAAAAAGAAATCCTCCTCTCATGACTTCCTTTTCCAGATCAGGCAAAATACTATTTACTCTCTATTACTTCACAAGCCCCAAATTTTAAACTAATAACAATATTTACAAAGCACTTACTGTGTGCCAGGCTATGCTAAGCATTTTACAGTTATCTTATTTGGTCCTCACAACACCCCTTCGATGCAGGTGCTATTATTCCCATTTCACAGATGAGCACTTATTATACTTATTCATCATTCCATTAAGTGCTGGAACAAACATTTTAAAAATGACAGTCTCCACTGTCAAGGATCTTCTAATCTGCTAGACAGATCGGTATAACACAAAATGGGGGTGACAAGAACAAAGCATCCCTTCAGATGAAAGTGGTCCAGGAAAATCAGAGGGTGAAAACACTGGGCTGGGGGGACCAAGGAGGGTTAAGGAGATGGCACCTAACCTGGGAGTTGAAGTTCTTGGAGATTTTGACAGAGAAATGAGATGCCAGAAGGCATGGGAATGCGTGTGGGAATGTAGTGGGGGACAGAAGGCTGAGTTGAGAAGTGGATAAAAGTAATATGAAATAAAGCTGGAAAGGTGGCACTGTGGAAACATTGATTCCAGATTATTTTTATCCTAAATGCAATGGGAAGATCTGAGAGTAGTAAACTGACCTGGTCAGATCTGTCTTTATAAAATACCAGGGTGAGAGACGACAAGGGTAGTGACATGGTGAGTCAGATCAGGATGGATGTATGGATGGGATTTGCCACCTCCTGTTTTATGGATTTGTATTCTACTCCAAAGCATGGCTCTGTGTATGATTTCTCTTCTCCACTAGATGCTAAATCCCTTTTACCTTTGTACCCTCCCTGCCTTGTACCAGAGAGACATATAAATACTGAATGATTAAGGATGGACTAAATTGCAGGCCTCATAATTCAAAATGTGTGGCACCTTAAGTCCTCAGCTCAGTGATACAGTATAGCAGATAAGTGTTGGATTTGGGATCAGTTCATTCAAATCTGGCCTCAGACACTGTCTCTGTAATATCCTGGGCAAGTCACTTACCCTGAATCTGTCTCAGTTTCCTGAAAAAAAAAATGGAGACAATAACAGCACCTACCTCAGAGGATGATTATGAGGATCAAATGAGGTAAGTTATGTAAGACACATGACAAAGTGTTAAAACGTATAACCTTCTGTGTATTCCCTACGGTATCCAACACAATAAAGGAGTGAATATTTCCTGATTATCACCTCTCCAAAGTAACATTGTGGTTAAAAACACTGTTGAGAAATCTTAAGTCTTTTACAGTATGGTAAAGACCTCAATTATAGTCCTAACTCAGGTTCATAAGCTGTGTGACTTTAGGTACATCTCTTACCCTCTCTGAGCCTGTTTCTTTCTGGGGGCATGGAGGACAGGAAAGGTGGCTTAAAAGTCAGGAAGACCCCCAGTTAAAGTTGTGTCTGTTGTACAACTATGGATAAAACAGTGAGTGCACATCAATGCTCTAAGATGAAGCTACAAATCAGTTTTCCTTCACCCCTGGGTCACATGGATTTCCTCTGTGCACACATGATCCCATCCCAGATCCTCCAGCTGACTGCTTCCTCTATCACTTCTATTCTCCCTTATCTTCAATCTCTCCCCACATCCTGGCAGCTTCCCTATTGCCTGCAAACATCCCCAGGTGTCCCCCAATAGCCACCCACCAACCACATATCTCTGCTCTTTGGTGACTAAACCCAAGGTCAGGTATAGTTATTTGTTTCCTCTCTTCTAAATGCTCAAATCTGGCTTCCAACTCCTAAAATTACCAAATTGCCCAATCTAATTACCTTTTCTTAATCCTCCTAATTCCTCATCTCTCTACAGCCTTTGATCTCGTCAATTACCCTCTTCTGCTAATTTCCTCCCCCCCACTGGCCATTCCTTCTCAGGCTCATCTGCTCCATCTTTATCCAGGTTAGGCCCACTCACATTAAAAGCGTCCCTCAATGATCTGTGGTGGACCCTCTTCTCCCTCTATACTATTTCACTCATTGATCTCATCAGCTCTCATGGATGTAATTCTCTCGGTTTTCATAATTGTCACTTATACAGCCCTAACATCTCTCTCAACCTCCAAGCTCTAACTACTCATCAGTCATTTCAACCTGGATGTCCTGTAGACATTTTAAACTCAACATGTCTAAAACTTAAGTCATTAACATTTCCCAACCCTCTTCCTACCTTTCACATTACTGTGAACGGTATGCTTTCAGCCACCCAGGATTACAATCCAGGTGTCCTCCTCAACTCCTCCCTCTCACTTACCTTTGAAAGTTCTCTTGAATGTATCCCTCTCTCTCCTCTAGTACAAACTCTCCAATCACCCCGCTCCTAGATTACTGCAATAGCTGCGGGGGTGAGGGTTTTTTGCCTGCCTTGTCTCTTCCTACTCCAACCCATTCTCCACTGGGCTGTTCACCTGATCTTCGTCAGTAGTTGTGACCATGTCATTGCCTTCTTCCCCATTAAATAACTCCAGTTCCCCACATGACAGCAGGAACAAATACAAAACCCTTCATAATCCACACCCTACATGCTCTGATCCACTGACAGTGGCCTCTGCCCACTTTCCCCCATGCCTGGAATTCTCTCACTCATCTCCGCCCCCTGCCTTCCCCAGCTTCCTATAAGTCCCACCTAAAATTCCTTCTCCCACAGATGTGTATGTTCCAGATACCCCTTAAAACTAGTTTCTTCTGTTGACTTATCTCCAATTTATCCAGTTTGTGTAAAGTTCCACAGTAGTTAGCACATACGTGTTTGCACGCTGCCTCCCTCACTAGTGCATGAGCTGCTTGAAGGCAGAAATTGTCTTTTGCTTTTCTCGATCTCCAATGCTTAGTACAGTAGCTGGCACAGAGTAGGTACTACGTAATAATGACTTGACTTGAAGTTGTCAACAGATGAAGGGCAGTTTAAGAGTTGTGGACCAAAAACTGGAATAATGCAATCTAGATTGCAAGTGTTGTGGTGAAACTCAAAAACAATGTGAGGATGGCTTAAAGAATACAAAGTGTTATTGGCGGTTGACACTTTGGGCAATATCGAACACCTATGGAAAACCAATGTTTACATAAACCTACCCTGTTCTGATCAATAACATCCACAATAGCCACCAGCTTGCCGGCATGTGGCCCAAAGGAAATGTAGGCCACCCGGCCAATTTCCACATAGCGCTTGAATACCTGTTTGGGGGGGGAGGGGGGAGAAAAAAAAAACATTAGGACTACTGTTAAACAAAAATATAAAGACTTAAACTAATGCAGCAGCCACTAACAAATGTCAAGTTAAGTAAAGGAGCTGGACAAGTGTGTTAAAATGATGGAGCAACAGATCTCCTACGGCCTAAAGCTCTAACCAGGGCCGGGGAGCCTAGACCAACGCTGTTCAGGCCCCTATGCATGGAGTCAAAGTTTTAAACCCAGGGCCTCTCACTTAAAACCTGTTAAGCTCTTCGTTCAGTTGGTCACTTAACTGAACTTCGTTCAGCTGGCGTCAGTTTCCCCATTTGTAAAAGGGGTAAGCCTCCCTGCACTTCCCTCCGAGGCTTTCCTTCCTCCAGGAAAGGCGATCAAGAAGCATTCCGAGGGCAGAGGAAGGAGGTCTGGGCTCGGGGTGAAGAGGACCCTCCAGCCCGCACCCCGGTGCCTTAGGCAACGCCATTAACCGCTGAGCCTCCACTTTCCTCGGAAGCCTCCGAAGCCCCTCCGTTCCAGCCCGTCCTATCGGGTTTGGAGGTGACCGCTTGCACGCTCCTCCCTTATTAGAGCGAGCTCCGGGAGGTCACGATTATCGCGACCTTTCTGGGTATCCCGACCGACACTTAGTAGCACCGGGATAAGCGCATGATCCCGGGGCCGCTGCCCGAGACCCCCTCTTCGGCCCTCTGGCAGGGCGCGGCGGTCTCCCCCCGACCCTCCGCTCTCCGCCCCAGGGTCCGCGTGGCCCGAGAGCTGAGCCAGATCGAGGCTAGGCCACCCTGGCCCCGCGCAGGCGCACCACGACCCGGCGGGGCCCCGCGCAGGCGCCCTAAGTCCCGGTCGGGGCCCCGACCCCGGCTTCCCCGCACGCGCCGGGAGCCGGGGAACGCGCCCTCGCCCCGTGGGCTCTGCCGCGGCTCCAGGCTCCCTCCCACCATCAGGTCCTCCCCGCGACCGCCTGCTGGGTTCTCGGAACCCGGCGCCCCCACGAGCGACCCCGCGGCAGGCCCTCCCGAGCCCCGAGGCCCGGAGCCCCAGCCCGCTCCTACTCACCATGTTGGCGGCGCCGAACGAGAAGGAAGGGCCTGCAGGGGACTGCGCACGTGCAGAATGCAGCTCCCGCCCCACGCCGGCGGGCGCGTACAGGAGTCGTAATAGACTCTGATTGGCTAGGCGTCTAGTTTCGACGCACGCGCACTGAGAGAAGCTCGCTTCCGACTCAGTGGGCGGGGTGAGGAAGTCTGAAACAACTCTTACGACACCTGGAAGAGCGATGACTGGGCGTGGTGCCGCGTCTGCGCGTGCGCCCAACTGTACCCGGACATTTATGCCCTCACGAGGGCAACTCCACATGACTTCAGTGGGCCTCGGAGCGTCCCAGGGTGATTCTTAGGTTCCTGTCTTGGGAAAGACCTGGAAGGGCTGGAAGAGGCCATCCAGACTTTGGGGGGGGGGGGGCGTTTCTGGCTCTGCGTCACGTGGGATCCACCAGCAAACACAGAAGCGAGCTTACGATCCAGTGGGCCCCTGGCATTAAAAAAGTGTTGATTTCATTTCAGCCTAGCTGGCCTCCTTGTAATCCTGGGCGTTTTATGTTATGCATTTAAATACTTTATTCTGAGAAAGGGTACCTAGGCTTCACCGCTAGTATGTAGTAGGTACCACATAAATGCTTGCGATTTCACGATTACCTTCTTGGGCCGGGGTGGGGAATCAGCCTCCTTCCCACAGAAAACAGAACAAAACAAAACGCAGACACTGCCCAACGTCGGAAAATGCTCAAAAGAAGTCGAAGAATCCTAGGAGAAGTAGAGTGGAAGCCCCCTGAGGGCAAGTTCAGCAGGCACTTAATAGTAGTGGAGTGACTGAGTCAGTCCAGTCTATACCCTGTTATAACATCCCTGATAAGTGTTATCAGCCTCAGAGGCTGGATTTGAATTCAGAAGGATGTCTTCCTGATTCCAGTGCTCTATCCACTTTACCACCAAGCCGCAGAAGAGCAGGAAGAGCAGAGTTCAAATCCAGACACAGACTACCTCCCAGGGTTGCTGCAAGGATCAAATGGGATCCTGTACGTAAAGTGCTTTGCAAACCTGAAAGTGCTACATAAAAGCTACTTATCGACTCCCCCAGGAGTCAGGGAGGGGCACAGACTAAATCCCGGTTCAGCCCCTGAGGTGCAGGGAGCCCAGGCTCTGCCGTGAAGAGCCTTAGCAGGGGCTTCCTCAGTTCTGTTTTCTCCTCTGCCCCTGAAGTTAAATCCAGCTGCCCAAGCTCGGGGGCATTTCACAGTTATCTGTAGATGGGAGCCAGGCAGCAAAATAATGACTAACTGGAGATAACTGGGGGCTTGTTCCAGGGCATCGACGTGGCAGGACCCATGCTTGGCCCTTTCAGCCACTGACCGGCAGCTCCTGAGGGGCCTCCTCCCCTCAAGCCCAACTCTCCAAGGTCTATGGGTCTGGTTACCTCCTTGCCAGCGTTATTGTAGCCAGACTGTCCTCAGTCTCCCGGGCACCTGCCCCACCACCGCAACTCTTTTTGCCACAGGGGACAATATTCCTAGTTGTGGCTGTAAAGTAGGCCAACTTTTGGTCAAGGAATGATCAGCATGGACAGTTTGGGAGTTAGAAGCAGCTTGAGGCAGTAGGGTATGAGAAACTCATTGTCCTAACTGGGGAGGATTCGGTCCGAATCTCACTGGCTTGAGCCCTGCAGGATGCCATTTTGTCCATCACCCTGCCTGGGGGCCACCTCCTCACCCCAGTGTGAGGCCAGCACCAGAGAAGGTCAGCGCACCACAAGGACGACTTCATCCTACAAATAACACCCGCAGCCCCAGAGCAGAGCACAGTATTCTAGGGGCGGTCTGACAAGGGCCTGGGGCACAGCTGGGCTGGCTCCCCTCCCTCCCTTTGGACCCACACGGCCCACTTCTGTGCTGAAGAACTCTGATACTCCTTTATCGGACCATTACGAGTGACGCTCCCCTTCTCCCTCTTCTTGTCCATCCTGATCTATCCTTCATCCTCCACCCCTAACCCCTCAGTTCTTTCCCAGGCTGTCGGCCCTTAAACCAGTTCAGCCTTACACTGTCCTCAAACCCCCACCATCTGCTGCCTGCTTCACTGCCTGTTGGAACATATTGTTCTCATCTGCCCGTTCTACCAGAAGCTCCACGTGCTTGGGGTAGACAGCCCACTAACTCACTGATGATTGGTTACCCTGAACCTGGTGCAGTACATCTGCCAGGACAGTTTTACCAGGTCTAGCTGATACACGTGCTGCAGTTGGGTGACGGGTAGACACCAGAGGTCACACCTGAGGTGCTGGTGCTCCCTGAACACCCCAAACACCTTTACATCTCCCTTAGGCTCCCTTCTCTCTGACCCTGCCCCTACCTGGAGCAGGCCCTCATTACCTCACTCAATAAATGCTCACTGAGTGACCGAGTGGCTGGTCGAAATAGTCCCTGCTTAAAATTCTACTGGGAGAAACATTGGGTGTAAAGAGAAAGGAAGAAAACCTAATTTGAGAAGAAGCAAGCCCTCAGATCTGTGGGATTAGGAAAGGTTTTCTGCAGTAAGGGGCACCTGCATTGTAAGTCTTGACGGGCACAGAGGATCAAAAGAGGCACAGGTGGGGAGGAAGGGCATCCCAGTCCCGGAGGACAACCTGGGTGCAGGAGATGGGGGATGGCACAAGTAGTCTAGGGGCCCGCCGGGAACCCCAGCGTGGCCAGAAGGTGGAGAAGCTGAGGCCTAGGACACAGCTCGGAAAGGCGGCTTGACTCAGACTGTGGACAGCCTTAAAGGGCAGGGGGAGGAATTTGTGTCTGGCCTTTTTTCCAGGATGCCTGGAAACCTCAGTTCGGATCGTGAGCTGCCCAAATCAGCTTGGGTTGCGACTGAATTTTGTAAATACTCAAGCTCGCGCCATATCCAGATGCTCTCCACGTGCAAGGGGCCATAGTGGTCCTCTCCGTATCTTGGCTAGCTCTTAATTAGGGTTTGCTGAACTGGACTGAACTGAGCATGAGTTACTGTGGCTGGGGCACTGCACTTGGGTCAGGTTCAAATCTTACTAGCTGGTTCCACCTGTGATTAGTCACTCCCCTGTGCCTCAGTGTCCCTCTGCTTAAAATAAGGAGGATGGGTGCAGGGCTCAGTGATCTCTAAGCCCTAATTCAAGCACACCTCCTTGCCCAAAGCCACAAAGGAAGGAAGTAGCAGAGGCAGAATTCAAACTCCAAGCCCTCTCTCTACTTGTAGTTCAGAGTTCTTTGCCCGGGTCCAAGACAGACCACGCCCAGCGTGACGCCACCACGTCGCCACGCCCCCCTTTTCAAGTGCGCCTCATCCATTCAGTCATTGAATGGGAAGGACGTTACCCAACAAACATGGCACGGCAACAGCGTTGTGACGTAAGGACGCTCGGAGGCGTGGCCTGAGAGCGCCCGCCTCCCCGCCCCGCCTCCGGGGCTCTGGAAGTGGCATCCGGTGCGCTTGCGCCGTGCGCTAAGCAGTTCCCGGGAAAGCGCCGAGGCGGGCTGTGAGGCGAGGCGGGCTGTGAGCGAGGGAGGCAAGGGCGCGGAGGTGGGACCCCGGCAGCGCTTCCTGCAGGGAGCGGGGTGCACCCATGGGAGCTGGGGGCGCGGGCCTGGGAGAGCGCAGGGCACGGGCGGAGCACGTGCTGTGTGGCGGCGGGCAAGTCGCTCACCCTCTCTGTGCCTGGGACTTCTCACCTGTAAAAGGGGGTGCCCCTCCTTCCCAATTATGGGGATGCTTTCGGTGGGATTAGGAGGGGAAGCCTCTGCCCCCCTTCTTCGCCTTTCCCTCCCTCCCTTGCTTCTCCCTTCCTCCCAAAAAAGAGGGTGTAGACAGGGTTTGGAGCTGGCAAGGACCCCAGGGGTCCATTTTACAGATGGGGAAACTGAGGCTAAGGGACTCGTCCAAGGTCATAGCTGGGGCACAACTGGAACCCAGATCCCAGATTCCAGATCTGGCGTGGGCCCCCTGGGGTTGGGTTTGACCAGGTCCCTGGCATCCTGGCCATGCCCACTACGCCCCTGGCGTCAGATAGGTGGGACCCACGGGTGAGTGTGCCTTGTTTTCTTCCCAGCGTGGGATGGAGGAGCCAGCCCTGCAGAGGAAGCAGGTGTCGGGCGCCCAGAAGAGGAAGATGTCCAGTCCGGCCCAAGAGGGGGCCCAGAAGCTGCCCAGAGCCCCCTCGTGCTCACTGGACCTGTAAGTTACCCCCGAGGGTCACCTCGGGTCATGTGGGGAGACCGAGGCCGGCTCCCCGGAGGCAGGGGGGGAGTCACGGCTCTGTTTCCTCTTTCTGTTGGCAGGCACGAGGACCCCGATGCCGAGCAGGAGATGGAGCCCAATGGCCAGGAGCAGCCCCTCAGCGGGGAGGCGCTGGACCTCTCAGTCACCACGCAGGTGCCTCTGGGAGTGGCCAGCACTGGGGCTGCCCAGGGGGCCCCTGATGGGGAAGACATCGGCCTGTTGAACCGCCAGAGCCTGACCCACAGGCAGAGGAGGGGCATCCTGGCCGGCCGGTGGCTGCCCCCCTCCAACTTCCAGTTCCCTAGGAGGCTGATGGGCTCGGGCGCCAGCCAGAAGTACCGGCGCTGCAGCGCCCAGCTCCTGCAGGACTACCCCTTTGCCCACTACTCCCGGCACCTTGACGGCGTCTTCTGCGGGCCCTGCTTTGTGTTTAACAGCAACAAGGAGGCCATCTTGGTGTCCGCCCCTTTGAAGGACTGGTCCAACAGCAAAAAGATCCTGGAGAGGCACAGCAGGTCCAAGGAGCACGGCCAGGCCGCGGTCAAGACGGAGGCCTTCGCGGCCTTGGAGCGCAAGAAGCAACTGAGTGAGCGGGGCCAGCACCCCCTGAAGCAGATGATCAAGCTCATCCTGCTCTGCGGCAGGCACGACATCACGCTGGGCCCGAGGCCCGCCGTCGCCAAGACCTTGTCCACCCTCTGTCGCTACATGGCCGAGCTGGACCCTCTGTGGAAGGAGAGCCTGAAAGGCGGCCCCTGTGCTGCCCCCGAAGCCTCAGAACACACACTGGAAGAGCTCATCAGGCTGACCGGCCTTCAGATCCAGAGCAGGGTCCTGGCCAGGGTCAAGGCGGCTGGGTTCTTCAGTCTTATCGTCGGCGGGAGCTCGGAACCGTCCACCAAGGAGAACGTCTCCCTCTCGCTCTCCCTGCGTTATGTGCATCGCCCTGAAGGAGGCCCGGTGGAGATCCGTGAGGACCCCGTTGACTTTGTGGAGGCGTCCGGGGAGGCGGCGGAGAGCCTGTCTGAACTCTTTCTGCAGAGGGTGACGGCCTGGGGTCTGCAGAAGGAGCTCCTGCGGGGCTACGGCCACCGGGGGGGCTGCCCCCGCAGGGGGCAGTGGGCAGGGATCCACGAGCTCTTTCCCGAGGCTGTCTGCTCAGCCTCTGCTATGCACCAGCTGACCGCGGCTGTCATCCGCTCCTGCGTCCTGCGTCCGGTCACCAAGTTACTAGACACGCTGAGCAGAATTTCCCTGGTGTTGAAGTCCTCTGCAGAGCACCTCGGTCCTTGGCCCCTGGCACTGAGGGCCTTCCTGGGTGATGATAGCGACCCTGGGGAGGAGGATGAGGAAGACGGAACAGAGAAGGTCTGGGGCACAGCTGGCCCCCGGCATCCTCACCTTGCCGACGTGCTCAGCTCCTTCCGAGACGAGTACGCCCAGGTCCTCGAGGCCTTGCAGACGCTGGCGGAGGATGACGGTGAGGCCGAAAGGCTCTTTTATTCCATCACCAAGTTTGACTTCCTGGTGACCCTGGTCTGTGTTGCCTTCGTCCTTTCGTGCACCAAGGCCCTTCACCTGGACCTGCACCCTCAACGGGTGGACGCTGATCTCATCCGTCTCTCAGAAGAGGCGAATCTCCTCCTTCAGAGGTTCCGGAAAATGCAGGACAAGGAGGACCCCGCGTTCGAGTCACTCTATGACGATGTGAGACTCTTAGCTGCCGGTGTCGGGGTCAAGGAGTCCCCGCCTCTGACGTGCGGCAGGCTGGCGTCCCCTGAGGCCTTCGGCGCCCAGGACCTCCGGGAGGGCTATCGGACGTCCTTGTTCATCCCGTTTCTGGACCACGCCATTTCTGAGCTCCAGGAGCAGCTGCTGGACAGCTGTCCCCGCTTCCTGGTCCAGTACCTCATCCCGGACAAGCTGCCTCTGTTGGACGGCCAGGAGGCGGAAGCAGCTGTCTACGAGGCCTTCCGCGGGGACCTCCCCAGCCTGGACAGCTTTTGCCTAGAGTTGCGGAGCTGGAGAGCGAACTGGACAGAAGTACCCAGGGAGGATCGGCCCAGTAGCCTCCTGGGTACCCTGCAGCACCTGAACCCGGTCTGCTTCCCCAGCATCAATGCGGCCCTCTCCATCCTGGCCACCATGCCCATCAGCGTCCCCCCCGGGGAGCGGTCCTCCCGGGCGCTGCAGAGGGCCAAAATGTGGCAGAGGAACCCGGGGAAGGGAAACCCACTCACAGGCCTGGCTCTGATATCCATCCATCAGGATATCCCGGTGGATGTGGACCAGGTCTTGGGGGGTCTCCATCTGTTCACACACTGACTCACTCAGGGGTCCGGGTAGGGTTGAAGCTGCTGTTGGAACAAGTTGGAGCGGATGAGGATGGCCTAAATGGGAGGGGTGGGTCTCTGATGGTTTATACCTGTACATAGTAACTAACACCTGGGGCTTATCCCAGGCTTCACCTGCACTCAACTTATTTTTTAAATTTTTATTTATTTATTTTTTTAGGGAGTCAGAGTTAAGTGACGTACCCAGGGTCACACAGCTAATACGTGCCTCAGGCCAGATTTGAACTCAGGTCCTACTGATTCCAGGGCCGATTACTCTATCCATTGTGCCATCTAGCTGCTCCCTCAACTTGTTTTTGTTTTTTTATGGTTCTGTTTAAAAGGAAGTTTTCCAAAGCAAATAGAACAGTATTCTGTCCACATTTCCCACTCAGAAAAGTGGGGAAGGTCTGCCTGGGTCCTGTGGATCCTTACTTACTACATTTTTTTGGGGGGTGGGAGCTGAATCTCTATGAAAATTCAGAGTTTTGTGGCCAAACAGGAAACAGAGGCTTGGGTAGAACATTGGCACTTATTGTCATTCTCAGGTAGGCCCTGGTGACTCCCTCAGTTTTATGTCTAGAGGTTAAAACTTGGGGAGAGGAACTGGGTCTGGAGGACAGTCCCCAAAGCATTCTGGGGTCTCTCGTTTCTCCCTCCTCGCACCCATCAGCACACCTGAGTGACCCAGCTGTCACTGGACATGCGTAGGTACCGCAGAAGCCTTGCAGGAGAGGGAGCTGTCCTCTTGGGTGTGAATCCCAGTGGGAGAAGCAGCACACCCGCTGCTGTGGCTGAGATTCTGGCCAGCATCTCCTGCAGATTCAGGTGGAATGTGGGCAATGGGGGACGGCTTCCCCAAAGCCACCATGACCACAGCCCAGGCAGCTGGTGTGCTCTCTGGGCCACCCAGAAACAGTCCATATTTTCTTGTTTGAACCTACACGATTTAGAGGGAGAAAGGGAAGGTTTCTTTCCTCTCTGATAGTAATTCAGATTTGTAGAGAGAGAGAGAGGCCATACAGCTTGGTGACTGAAGACCAGTGTCTGACATTTACTGCCTGGGTGACCCTCAGCGAGTCTCACCTCTGTGTGCCCGAGGCAGGTGCAGACCCACCTTGGTAGAGGGAGTTTATGCACAGGGAAGTCCAGATCCCCCCCAACCCCCCAAAGAAAGAACATATAAAAATAATGCATTAGGATTACAAGCCTGTCTTTGTGTGCCCAGGCTCTTGGTCAGTTCTTATGGAAGTGGAAACCCTTTCCTTTCCCCAAACTCTGACTGAGACGGCAGAAGTATTATTCCTGATTGCCATGCCCTCCTTCCCCAAACTGCCTGGGATCCTATATTCTTAGATGTGACCAGGTCATCCCCCCACCCCCAGAATGTAAGTTCTTTGAGGACAGGGAGTGTTCTGATTTTGTCTTTAGATCGGCAGTCCTAGGGGTCACAGAGTCTGACGTGACTTAACAACAATAATTAACATAATATAGGTGTCTAAGTCATACTTCTTTATTGATTATGGATGACTTTGGGGGCCACTTGGATACTTTGGGAGTCATGGCCTCCCCCCCCCACACAGACATACTGTGACCTTTCAAAGCCTCAGTTTCCCCAACTGTAAAGTGACCGCATGACCTCCACCTTGCCCAGGATCACATACCATTATGCATTAGCGGGCGGACATGAACGTAGGTCTCCCTGCTTTGAGAGCAGCTCTCATCCACTTCACCCCTGCCTCTGCCCTTTATAGATAACACTAATAACACCTGGTATTTGGTTTTGGGTTTTTTCTTAAGTTTAAGATGCCTTCTAAATCCAGAATCATTTGAATACCCTTCCCCCTTCCCCTTGTTTTACTGGTAAAAAAAATGATGAATAAAAAAAAGTGAGTTGGGGAATGTAAAGGAGGAATGTCTGAGCAGGTTGGATAGATTGAGTCTTTGGACACAGTCTTGCCAGGAAAGGATCTAGGAGCTGGTTTCAGAGAGACAGGCCTTCCTCGATGGTTCTGTTGAGATTGACTGGACACCCACCTGGTACTGCTTCAAGCCCAGCCCCTGGGAGGTTAGAGTAGGGCTTCCTAACCTGGAAGAGGGCGGGAGGAAGGCTCACAAGTTTGTTGTTGTAAAGTATTTGGATAACGATTTCCATATAATTTTGATAGCTGTATTTGAATATAATTCCTTTGTAATTCGGTGTGTTTTCTTTTGTGCATTTAAAAACATGATTCTGAAAATAGGATCCATAGTTTTTCCTTGACTGCCAAAGAGATCCATGACCTGTTAAAGGTTAAAACCCCTAGCGTGGCACATTTTCAGAGAGGGAGATGGAAGGTTGTGGGGCATTAACTTAATAGGGAAGGAGGTTAAGATGTCCATTGAGCCATGTGGATTTGGGTACAGTTCTGGAAAAGGCAGAGAGGTGAGACACATCTTGGATGGTTCCCCCATTGGACTGGGAGCTGCCTTTCTTTGTCAGTAAGCATATCGACTGGCACATCGGCAGCACTTAATAAATGCTAACTGACAGACCAGTTTCATAGGATCATAGATTTAAAACTGGTAAGGACTGAAGAGGTCAGCTAGTCCAACGCCTCTCTCTCCACTTAAAAATCCATCCATCAATCAACAGACACTTGTTTTTTAAATAAATTTTCACTGATGTCTTTTGTTTTTCTTTTATATCATGATAATTTCTCCCAGTATCTCCATCTCTCCCCTTCCCAGAGAGCAATCCTTTATAACAAAAAGAGATCAAAACCAAGAAGAAAAATCAACTGATTAGAAAAGTCTGCGAATGTGTGCAGTGTGCAGTATTATGGGCCTCAGACCCCTGCCCAGGGGAGGGATGTAGGCATCTCCTATCTCTTCTTTAGAGTCGGGCTTGTTCTAAATCATCTTGCCACATTCATCCTTTATTTTTTTCATGTTGCAGCCAGTGTGTATGTTGTTTTCTTGGCTCTGCTGACTTCCCTCTGCATCGGTTCATGTAGATCTTTCCAGGCTTCTCTAAATTCATCACATACATCACTTCTTACATTGTCTCCTGGTGTGGTGAGTGTTTATAGAAAGGCTGAGAAAAGACAATTTCCCCTGCTCAGGGAGATGCTTTTGTATCTTGATAAGTCTTAGCTTGAGGAGGGTGCTTCTGTCCTCAAGACCACCCTGGGATGTAAGGCTGGCCAGGCCCCTGGTCCACAAATTTCATTTCATTAAGAAAAGTAAATGTGCAAAAAAGTGTGGGGAAGTGTGTGGGGAAGTGGTTAGGGAGCCACATTTGGGAGGAGGAATAGTATGTCAGCACTAATACAGGGTTGAACAAAGTGATTTCAGAAAGGGAAATGAAAGAATACCTAGGCAGGATCTGGAAGGGTCTTCTGTAGGAGTTGGCACCTGAGCTAAGCTCTGAGTCAACAAATATTAAATGCTGACTGTAAGCCAAGCTCCGGAGATACAAAGACAAAACACAGCAGTCCCTGCCCTCATGGACCTTACACTGTGTAAGAGACAAATATTTCATATGTAACTGTGTTGTTTGTCCTCCTTTCTCAAAGAGGACCGTGACATCAGGGAGGGGATGTCATGACATGCAGGTGAATCGGATTTAAGTGAGGGAGGGCTGTGCAAAGTCACTAGCCTCACTTTCTCCTCCGGAGCCATCTGGGCCCAGTGGCCAGATATAGCTCAGGACGACTGGAGATGGCTCTGATTGAGTGGAGGACATTGGCCTTAAGCTAAGCCTGACTGAGGCAACACCCATTCAGTGATTAAGGCTAGGTAAGAAATGAGGTAGAGAATGGCCTTTTTTATCTAGTCCAAAAAAAAAAAATCCATCTAGGAGGGGAAGAGCTTCAGGGTTTCTGGCCAAAACAAACAATTGCTATTTATATTCACTCTGAGCCAATCTGTGCCTAAACAATGATCTAGCGGGGCTTGGCCTGGGACCTTTTCTAGACCAATCCTGAGAGCCTGAGTGATTTGGGTTTAAGGCATGGTCTTAAAAAAATCTAGTCCATAAACCCCAAGATATCTTGTGAGGTTTCAATGGTCAAAATTTGCATTCTTTTGGGCAGAGCACCCACAGGTAAGGTATGATACCCTTTGTGGACAGACGGAAAAGAAAAGGAAGGAGGAGGGTAGAATAGGAAATATATGCAAAATATGTCAACTAAAGCCAATCAAGTCAATAAGCACTTGTTAAGCACCTACTGTGTGCTAATTGCTGGGCTACAGAGGGTCAAGGTGGAGGTGAGGTGGAGATGCTTTTAAAGAACCGGAGCTGGCCTGTGCGAGCCGGCCTGTGCAGAAGTCGCTGAGCCAGAAGATGGAGGGGGTGTGACTTGTCCCAGGACATGGGGCTAGCTGGCTTCAAGTAGCCTCTAGGGATGGATGGATCTAGGACCAGGTCCCAGGGATCCAGGCTCCCAGTCTGAGGCCCTTCGCTGCTGACTTCCCAAGAGCTTGAAGCTATTTTTCTAGCAGTGATGATGCATGAGTACAGAGCCGTCCCCTTGCTCTGGCCCACTTCTGATCCCTGACACACGTAGTCAGACTCGCAGATGCAGCTTACCTGTGGAATCAAGTTTTCCATGAGGGTTGTTGCCATTTTTGACTATCTGTTGGCCCTGAAGTCCGGGGGCTGAGAGAGAGTCTTGTCCTGATGTTTGCCATTGCCTGATGGAGTCATGTTGGGGAAGGCAGCCTGGTTCAGACTAAGTTTCCTAATCTCTGAGATGAGGTGGGATGAGGGAAAAACTGCTCTATATTTGGAATCAGAGGATCCTGGGCTCAAATCTTGACAATGTTATTTACAAACTGAGCAAGAAACAGCACAAAAAATTATATGGAATGACTGGTTCAAATCCTGGCCCAGTGACTTCTATTTCTGTGATCTTAGGAGAGACTCTTAAGTGTTTGAGACCTCAGGCTCTCCCCTGTAAGATGAAAGGATGGACTGCAAGGCCCCTCTCATCACCAAGTCCATTATCCAGGCTCCTGAGTGACTACCATGGGCCTCAGTTTCCATGCCTGTAAAACGAAATGATCAGAGTAGATGGGCCCTACAGCTCCTTCAGTCCTAAGCCTGTGAATCTCTGGGGCAGATTTCAGTTTAATGTAAAGGAAAACTTCACATTTAGAATTCATTGAAAACAAGATGGGCTATGCCTTCAGAGAGCAAATTCCCTCTCATTCTAAGTGGGGC